CCTAAAACAAAGCCAACCCAACAAGAGACCAAATCCTTGAACTATGAAAGTCTTCAAATTTCTCTCAAAAGTCCTCTATTACATTGTTTTGAAGGTGAACTTGGTTGCTTCACGGTTATCTACACCCATTTTAAGGTTCTTTTTAATCAGTAATCTGGTTCGTTCACTCTGATCAGACATTTTCGTTCAGTTTCTTGTCAGCTAATGCAATATTCAATCTCCGGAAGACATGCTTTTACTCTCATCTCTTGATCCAAGTTATCCAATAGATACGCAATATTTCCATATTGATGGTGGCTCTTATCTTCCATTATAAATGAATGGAGCTCCCCGTTCACTTCAACTGCACTATAGCCAGGCACTTTCTTCATCCCTGTCTTTCTCATTACCTTCCTTACTTCAGCCACTTCGTCCCACTTCTTTCCCATGGCAAAGAAGTTTGAGACCAGCGAATGAATTCCCAAGTCATCCGGACTTAACTCAAGGACCTTCTTTGCCACAATCTCTCCAGTTGACAACTTCCTATGATTACGGCAACCTGATAAGAGGGTAACCCAAACAGCAAGCCCAGGTTCATTGTTCATGGACTTTATAAGCTCAAGTGCTTCTTCCACTTGTCCGGCACGGGCCAAAAGATCAACCATACAAGCATAGTGCTTATCAGTTGGTCGAATTTTATATTCACTAACCATGAGATCAAACCAGTATCGACCCTCTTCCACTAGTCCTGAGTGACTAAGAGCTGAAAGAAGGGATGCAAAAGTAGAATGATCTGGTTTGAGCTTTGTTTCTATCATCTGGAGGAAGAGTGTCAGAGCTTCCTTTGCACGTCCATGGATCCCATTGCTATCAATTATTACATTCCAAGAGATTACGTCCCTAGAATCCATCCGATCAAAGACTGCACGTGCACAAGAAGGTGCTCCACATTTTGAATACATGTCAATCACTGCAGTACCTAAAACCTTATCAAAATCAAGCCTCCTGACAATATATCCATGTATGGACTTGCCCAATTTCAGAAAACCAATTTGTGTACATGCCAAAAGTGCAGTCATGAGAGACACCGAATTGGGTTCACACCCGCAACTCTGCATCTCAATCAACAGTTCAAGTGTATTTCCTGGCAAACCATTTTGAGCGAAGCCAGACATTAGTGCAGCCCAAGAAACAATTTCTTTATGGGGCATCTTCTTGAAAACACGAGAAGCAAGATTAAAATGTCCGTTCTTAGCATACATATCCACAAGGCTGGTTTGAACTATAACATCCAAATCAAGATCTTTCCTAATCGTATAACCATGAATAGAGAGCCCCACTTTCGAGTCCCCAAGATTAACACAAGCTTTAATCAACCCCACCATCACAACCGCATCTCCTTCAATCCCCTCCTTTTGCATCCTTCTATAAACATTGACTGCTTCGCATGGCTGGCCATTACACGCAAACCCTTTTATCATAGAACTCCAAGAAACAATGTCCTTTCTTTGCATCTTATTGAACACAATTAAAGCCGCATCCATTCTGCCACACTTGGCATACAAATTCAACATAGATGACCCAACAAACACATCGTTCTCATAACCACAATCCACTGCTTTACGCCAAACTTCTTCTCCCA